GGGCCCCACGGGCCCCCTGCACCCCAAGGGCCCCTGGGCAGCGGCCCCGCTGGCCCGGTCCGTAATCCGTCCCTGGTCTGTGCCCCCCCCTGTAACTCCTCCAGAACCGCTAGGGATTCATGGGCCTCCAGTCGAAAGGCTTTAGTCTGCATCATCTCTGGGAGATGACAGCATCCTGACCTAATATTAATAAACATAGTAATAATAAGGTAGTGATTCGGCATAAATCACATGCTGACAGCATGTCATGGGTGGATACACCTGTCAGATCCCACTGTCCTCCAGTTATTGCCATGCGTGGGTGGTGGAAACTTTGAAAACATTTTGTAAAGAATCAGGAGATCCAGTTGCGGAGCGATCAATCATGGTTTTATTTTGCCGAAAGTCAAAAACAGTATCAAAAACTCATAATCGTTAATTGGAGAAATCGTCAGGAAATCGAACTGAAACAGAACCAAGAACGTAATCGTGATCCAAGAAGTCGGGAACTCAGGCAAAGGTGGAAAAAAGACATGCGTTTAACATAAAGTCACAAAGGCTCGGTATGGAGAGAAACTCAGCAGCCATAAAAGGAAGAACGGAGCCAGAGTAGGGTGTTAAAATCATATGTGAATAATTATATAGTGGTGTATTTAATTAACAGAAGGCGGCGATCAGGGAAGGGTAACTGGTTGTACAGGTCCGGACGCATGACACACATAAAAATGTCAGCATTTGGTTATTAATAAAAAGTTCTTAACTTGCTAGATATAAAATCGCATGCTTGTCATTTTCCCATTAAAAAGCTAAATTAAAATATTTCAAGTTTTACTTTTCTAAACGATTGTACAGATCCAGGCGTAATCAATTTCGGTGACTGAAACGTTTTGTAAAGAAAATATTCTACTGACACGTATAGGATATTTGCTATGATTTTAAAATAAAGTGAATAAAAATGAAGTTAAAATGAACAGAAAGAACAGTACTCTACGAACGGGATATTAAATAGTTAAAATTTTGTTTGGTTGCGGGTGAATGCACGTTAGTTTCTCGTCAGAGACTGACAGAGAGTCATTGGAACTGTGTACTTTACGAGCTGCGAACATGAAATTATTGAAATATACCCACATCAGTACTTTGTACTAATCTAATATGCCTAATAATAGAACTATAATAATAAGTAAAAAAGCGGGGTGGGGTGGGTGCGGTAAAGGCCAGTTCATACTTAATTTTTCCGCGTGCGCTTTCGGTTGTGNCCACAGAGCTACAAGAGGTCCAAATGCTCTGATCAGTTGAGGATAATGCTCCAAGAAATGGTGCTTTGGCAGAAGTCTTGCTTCAGGGAAAACTTGCAAGTATCTATGCCTGTGTTCTGATATCTTGGTGTCCAAGAATCTAATTGTGTCATCTGTGTGAATAGGAGAGACCACTAGTTCCACAATGTCTTTTAGATCCATTATAAGATGCCATGCTGGTTCACTCTCTGGAACTTTGAAACCAATGATAAGAGGGAGCAGACGCAACAGGTTCCAATTTTCATGAGCGTTTCCACCTATGCTGTGCCGGCTGGCAAAATTCAGCGGTACAGGCTGTGGGCTGTCAGTTTTGTCAGTCCACTTATAGGTGAACAGCCTGATTAAGTCATTGAGTTGAATTAATGTGAAGTATTTCTTCTTGATTAGAACATTAAGGCACAAAGCCAACTCCAGAGGTACTATTCCCTCGAACAAGTCGTGTAGCAAATCTGGTGGATACCCTGACAAAACATGAAAATGTTTCAATTTGTCAGTTAAGGCACACTGCCTTTTCACACCAAAGCAGTGAGTCAAACGGGGACTTTCCAAAACTGTTTGCAGATGAAGCGAATGTTCCTCCTTTGTCCTGGCTTTGAAAGATCCAGTTCTCACTTCTTTTTCCTGAAACTCAGGGAGCTGGCCCAAACAAAATCTGCAGATATAAGATCCAGAAAAGCTTTCCACAAAGCCACAAATTGAATGGGCACCTAAATTGTCAGCTATTACACTAACTACTGTGCCCTTGATTTTCCTTGCAAACACAGGAATAAAGAGTCCTTCCTCTTCCAGCTGGACAAGGTCTTTTAACAGTGGCTGAAGTACTGCCTCATAACCGTACTTCTTCACATCAACAGCCTTGCAAAGCAGTGCTAAATAAATTGACTTAAGTGTTGCGCGAAACTGTGGTGGAACATTTGCCAATACCCAATACACTGCAGTAATCTTGTGTTTTCTTCTAGATGTTCCAAGGGGGTTGCAAACCTCAAAATCGTCAATGTACAGAAGAAGAGAGATTGTTACGCTTTCAGTGGACAAAAATGCATTTTCTTTAAAATGTGTTCCATCACGAAATGATTCGTATCTACCCTCAGAAGTAGTTGATGAAGAATTGAAAGCTTTCTCCTGTATGTCTTTCAAGCTCAAAATCTGTGATAATGACTGAAGAATGGGAACATACTGTAATGTTTTACCTTCCTTTTTGTCCAGAATGTATTCAATTGGCTCAACCACATTAAAAGTCTTCTTATAAAACTCCTTTCTTTTGTAAGATGTGGCAAGAGGACCGTCACTTCTTAAAGCTGTGCTAATTGGGTTTGACTCACCCAACTGTTTGACTAAATCAGAGACGACTAGGTCATCAAGTACACAGCCATGTTTTCTTAAACACAAGTTTACAGTATTTCTTATATCAGTACCTGACACCAAGGAGGATATAAACTGGAGCTCTGCCACTACTTCAGAAATGCACTTACTTGGTACATTATAAATGCTCTCCAATTTTAATAAAAGGTGGCCCAAGTTCAATTCAATTTCTTCCCCTTTCAATTCTTCTGTATTATACTCTCCTAGAAAGTCACCTGTTCCTGAAGGTTCCTCATTTGCATCACTGAGCTCATTTGAACAATGTGCTTTAGCAATATCTGTGATATTTGTCTGAGCTATATGTACAATTTGTGGCCGAAAATCTCCCAAAGAATGAATGGCGTGTTTTCTAGATCTATGTGATGCAAAGGTTCCATACACGTTTGTGTAGAAATCACACTCTTTGAAGACACAGTGGACAGTTTCATTTTTCTTAAGATGAACTCCAAGATGTTGAAAGTAATCCTTCTGAGTGGAGAAACAAGAACTGCAAAGTTCACAGTGGAAAGAAATTACTTCTGGTGTTGACTTTTTAGCTGAATGTTTCCTTGACAAATGTGATTTGAGGGTATTCCAGGTTTTGAAGGAGCAGGGGCAATCAGCATATAGACAGGGAAGAAATTTGCTGTGGTTGTGCCTCAACCTGTAGTGCCTCCAAAGTGCATTTGTTTCAGGTGCAACAAAGGCACAGATCTTGCAATCCATCCCATAAAAAGTAAAAGTTGAGGTTTTACTAGGTGGCTGTGTGGTGCTGGTGTACTGGAGTGCAATATATGTTCTATTAGTTTTTATATTTTATCCCCATTAAATATGTTAATGGGTTGGACAAAAATACACACATTTCTGTTCAGTAGAATGCAACACAAATGTATGAGTTGTAAAAAAAAAATAAAAAATTATATATATATATATATATATATATATATATATGCGCGCAACTTTTTGTCAGGCTCAAGAGTAAAACTAATTTTTGCCTCACATTCAATACTACAATTAACCAAGTGTTTGTATATACAGACCTTAATCCGTAGTTAGAATATCTTCATCCAGTTTAGAGACAGCTGATAAAGAAAAGTCATAGTTACTGACCATGGCAATTAACCAAAACCACACTATAATAAAACATCCAAAATCCATGACAACTAGCGACTCAACTTTACAGATTTGACCTAAATTTCATCATTAAACATCTTCCACATTTATCATTTCTGTAGTGTTACTTCTATATTTTCTGCAGAACATTCAGAAGCAAACTATCAGGTTGGAATAAATTATGGATTTACAGACCAGGCTATGAGGAATTCAGAGGCCTAGATGTAGACTGCAGTAGATTACAAACACAGCAGCAGCATGTCTATGATACTTGAAATGAAAGAAAAAAAAAACTTAACTATAAAGTTCAAATAAAAAACACGCATAGCAGTGGTGCACAAGCAGCATTACTTTAAAAGAATTTTTTTTTTCATTCATGCAGGAAGACATTATATTTGTTTCTCAATAGCTAAATGAGAAAGGCAGGTGATCATATGCTTGAACTTGGAAAAAAACAGGACCAGTGCTCATCTGGTCTCTACTTAAAAGTTGCGGTAGATTTCTTTCTCTTGTTTTAAATTATTTGTGGATGTTTCTTTAATTTTTCACATGCGGGAGACGGTTAACGTACAGGTTTTATGGGCTACAAAAAGTAAAAAAGCCCCCGGATCTTCTGTTCGGGAAATCTCCGGCATTCAGCTGTTACTTAACTGACAGTTGTTCGAAGAAATTAGCTCGTTAATAGAGGAAAAATGTCCCTAGTTACATGAAAACACGTTAAAAAAGACAAGCTACACCTTCCTTTTTTCAAGATATTTACGCTCTTCATGAAATTCAATGCATTAATATCGGGCTGCGTGTAATTTCTGGAAGTTCTGTTGGCGGGCGTTCCGAGCCAGAGCATGAAAAAAAACTACATAAAACATTATTAAAGCTGAAAAAGACAGCACTATCTCACATAGACGCTTATTGGAAAACTTTATTCTTACCTTAAACTTCCGTGAACTCAAGCACACGTCCAGACTGCGGGAATGTGGCACTCGTGTTTCCCATGCAAGACCCAGAATGCATCAGGTGGCGCAATTACAGAACAACGTAAAATATTAAATTAAATAAACAAGCTTATTGTTTGTTGAGTGTTTGAACTTGCGAAGATCGACTGGGATAACCTAAAAACGCTTGTAAATGAAAAATCATACAATATATTGTAGTTTGAACAAATGCATATCAATTTCAAATGATTATTTTTTATGTAAAGATACAAACAAGGATTGTTATTGTTAATGTCACAGAGTTAATTTATGTCATATATACAAATGTTCAGCATCGCTTTTTTCAGTGTAGGGATTCATCATTGTCGGAGCGGATGCAACTGGATAGAGACCTTATCCTGACGAAAGCCATTACAATGGCAAGACAGTCAGAGGAAATAAAAAGGCAACAGACTGACCTGAGAGGGGAGATGGGTGCAACTAAAATAGCCATCGACACAGTTCGGGTTAAGAGAGCACAGCAGCACAAGGATAAATTCAAAAAACAGACAGTAGGACAAGTAAAAGGCACGAGAACTGCGCGGAGCGTGACGGGACATAAAACATGTAGTAAATGTGGTAAATCACCATTTCACCCAGCATATGAGTGTCCTGCTAAGAGCACAGAATGCCACTAATGTGGTAAAAGGGGACATTATGCTAAGGTCTGCAGGTCAAACTGCACCGTGAACGAGGTTGCTGAGGACATGGATGAGCTGTTTCTCGGAGAGGTGATTTCCGGAGATGATCCATGGATGGCTGACATCAATATAAGAG